GAGAATCTTTTATATATATATATATATATATATATATATATATATATATATATATATATATAATTTACATGTGTTATTAAATGTGAAATACTATCTTATTAATGGTATATTTTTTGAATTATTAATATAAATACGTTAATTTTAATATCATGTTAAATCCAAAATATAAATTAGAATATCAAATAAACATAAAAGCATTCAGAAATTATTTTTTAAAACAATTTAAAACATTTAAATGTTATAAATATAAAACTAAATCGACCGTAATTAACTAAAAATATCCAAATGTAATTTTTATAATAATTGAAATTTGTTCAAATAAATGGTTATTAAATCATAACCAGTAACAATAATAATAGTTAAAAATAACATAACCTTATAAATTACATTACGTGTGACCTTATAAAAAATATCAAATAATTAATTTCTAAATTAGTTAATCATAACATTAAATCGAAAATTATATTTATTTTTATTCACAAATCAACTATGAATAGCGCTATTAAATCATATGATTTTAATAAATGTTATAATATAATTCAAAATCATTACAAAATTACATAACAAATTAGTGTAAGAATTTATTATTTCATGTTAGTATTAATAACATAATTATTTTCAATATATACTTGCCGAAATTTTAACCAAATAATTTTACCCTGCACACGCCTAATAAAATTTATGAATGTAATCATTAACTAACCTAATGTTCTAATTATTTACATGTCAACAAATAACTTTTGTAATATCAAAGAGAACATAAAAATACAAATAAATAAATAAATAAATAAAAATAACAACAAAATTAAAAAAAATTAACAGCTAACCCATTTAATACAGGTGGTGTTACGATAGCATTTATGTTTGAATGTCAAGTTCAACCATTTCCCTTTTATTATAGCCGACTTGATGAAGACTATTGTGAAAGGATGACGAAAGTCCCTTTAGTCCAATGAGAATATGTTTTTCACAATTAAAAAAAATTATATGCTACCTAACAAGCTGTTGACTTTTACTTTGTTATTATAATATTAACTTTATACAAAATAAAATAAAATAATCACCAGAATCCTATTTACAATATGGACAACATAATTATTTTCATATACAAGTTTCAATAATTGTTTTTCTAATTACATTCTTGAACTTTTTAAACTAATTAAATTACATTATGTAGTTCTAAAATTCGTGTAAATATTAATTTGTAACTTTTATCTAGTGAGTTTTATATTAGACAACGTTGTCATGTATAACATTAAATAATACGGATTTTTAGGTGGATAATTAAATTGATACAATAAAGAAAATGAAAATGAAAGAAATGAAAATTCAACGAGATGAAGAATTTGGAAAGTTGACTAACCTTGCAAAGCTAAACATTCAGCTTCCGTCCGATCAACAAATCCGACGGTGTAATTTGGATCATCAATCGACCGCAACATGTACTGTTTCTTCCCGCCGGTGGAACCGTTGTTCGGAACAATACACGCCACCAACTCAGCAAACTCGTCCGATCCGCGTCTGATTCGAACTCGGATTGAAGTCTCCTTCGATTTAAACGAGTTATGAAGGATCTTCTGTACTCCGCTCTTCCCGTTCTTAAACGGCGCCGTTATGCTGATGTTTCCGATCTTAATCTCCTCCACAATATCGCCGGTCTCCAACATCTCGCCGGTCCATTCTTCGGCTCTGGAGGTTCCTTTTAAACACTCGATTGATAACACCGCCGCGTTGCTGGATCGTCCTCTGCTGCTGTCTTCCGATCCGGATTGAGATTGACTCCCCCATGAACTGGAACGATCCATGGGCATATTTTTGAAAATTCTGAGGGGATTCAATGGGGATTGTGAAGTTATGGATTATGAAATGGAGTGAGAAAGGAGACGATCGGTGGCTATATGAAATGATTCGTGAAAATGGTCAAAAGGAGATGATCTAGAAGATGTGACGATGATTATTTGGTAGAGAATTTAGAAGAGGTTTCGTATATAGAAGCATTACTACCTTCTGATTGGAGAATGTTCAACATCAGTCAATATAGAATTTCAGAATTCAATCTGTATGTTCAAATGATTATATATCTATTTTTTTAAAGGTTAATATATGGTTTTAGATAAAACTATCAAAAAGTTTGTAGCTTGGTGTGGAAAGTTCCTTTTCCCCAATGGTAAGGTTCAAGTCTCTTAGTATATTTAAAATGTGTTTATATTTAAATTGTGTTTGACACCCTACGTTGGCTTATAATTTTATTTATTTATTTATTTATTTTTTTAGTCACTTAACTTTTGGTTTTATGCTCCTTTGGTCACTTAATTATTTTTAAGTTTTAAAAGGTTACCAAACTTTTGACTTTATGCTCATTTAGCCACTTAACTTTTGATTTGGTCACATTTAGTCACTTAATTTTTAGATTTGTGCTCATTTAGTCACCTAACTTTTAAAATTGTGCTCATTTAGTCACTAAAATTTTAAATTTTTTTAAAAGTTTAGTGACTAAATGAGCACAATTTTAAAAGTTAGGTGACTAAATGTGACCAAACCAAAATTTAAGTGACTAAATGACCACAAAGCCAAAAGTTTGATGACATTTTAAAACTTAAAAAGAGTTAAGTGACCAAATGAGCACAAAACCAAAAGTTAAACTGTCATAACTCATTCGTTTGTAGTCGGAATGTCATAATTTTTTTCAACACATAGTTTTATGTTCGTACTTCATTTTAGACTATATAAACACTTTATTTGGTTACATGTTAATTGAATTACGGGTCCGAAATATAGGTTATCAAAGTTGACTTTATGTTTTTTCACTATTGAATTTACTTTTTGTAATTCAAACACCTTATTTCTTTATATTGGGTTAATTTTTGTTGGTTGAATTGCTATTATTCTAATCATTTGGCCTCAAATGATTAACTAGTTGTACAACTGCATAAGAACATGTGCCGTTTCCAACCGGGTATTAAACAAAAAATGGCACAGACACCGAAACCAATATAGTGTAATTGATCTAGTTATCGGTTCTCATTATTAGTCTAAACCGGTTCCGATTACAAATAAGGTCCGGTCTGGTTTCTCATCCTAGTTCCAACTAAGCATCATTTGTAGCACCTGGTTCTTGGTACGTATCCTTCCATTTAATCTTTTAATAATTTGCATTTTTGGCCTTGAACTCGGCGAGTCGAAGGATTAACTCGCCGAGTAGAAGCGAGAAAGATCGCGGGTCTTAAGTGATGGACTCGTCGAGTCGGTTCCCGGACTCGGCGAGTAGACCCTGTTTGGACAAAAACCCTAATCCAGGGGTGTGCACCCT